CTTGCCGAGGAAATGACCTTTGTGATAAGCGTTGCCTTGCACCGGGTCGACGACGTAGTCGCTCTCCTGCTCGACGACGCTGTTGTTCCACGAGGAAGTCGAAGGCCCCGGCGTGGCGACGCCGGTCGCCGCGCTCCTCGGCAGCGAGACGGCCGCGGCGTTCCCGAACTGCCGACCGGCTGCGCTGCCGCTGGTCGTGGTGGTGGAGGTCGCGTTGCTGCCGTTGCTGGTGACGACGTTGCTGGCCGACGAGGAGACGTCCTGGACGTTGTTGCTGTCGGGCCGGGAGGTCGACGGCTGCGCCGAGGAGCTCGTGGCGTAGATGAGCGTCGACGTCGGCGTGGCGGTCCGCGTGTCGTCGTCCGCGTTGCGGAACACCAGCGCCGCGGTGTTGACGAGGCTGTCCTTGACGAGGTCCGCGGGGTAAACGGCCTGCCTCGAGGACAGCTCGGCCTCCAGGGGTAAGGACGAGCCGCCGCCGACGTGTCTCCGGCTCCTCCGGCGGACGAGGCTCTGCAGGGAGGCGGAGCCCTTGGAGAAGCCCTGCCGCGGCGACCGGCCATCCATGGACCTGGTGCTGCCGCCGGTCGTCGACTCGACCCTCCGCTTCGAGCACTCCGGCTCCGAGGCCGTGCGGATGGTCTCGTCGAACTCCTCGTGGCAGCGCGCGACTGCGCGCGCCTCCAGGAGATGACACGTCGTCGACGAGGTGGCCGTCACGTCCGGCCGCAGCTCGGCGCACATCGTCTCCGAGAGCAGGCCGCGGCTGCTGCCGTCGCGGCCTGCGAAGCCATGCACGTCGAGCATGTTCGGTGGCAACATCCTTTTAGTTAGGGTTAGTCCTCGCTAGTCAACGGCTCAACGTCGGGCCGCTGCTCCGAGGCGTCCACTTGCCGGCGGGAAGGCGTCAATCACCACGGCGATACGGTGGCTCCGAGGCGAACTCCGGGGGAGGGGGAGGGGGCGGGGGGGACGCGCTTGCTGGCACATCCGGGACGTCGTCGACGATGGACGATGGACCCTGAAGTCCTTCCCGGACGACGGTGGCAAAAAGACGGGAATCCCTGGAAACGTGCTCGGTGTCGTCCTGTCGAGCTGGAGGAGTCGCGGCTGAAGCTCCCCGCGTCGGAGCTCAACGCGTCTTCTTCATCCTTCGTAGCCGGTCGGGATCTAGCAAGATCTCAGCGAGCGATAAGATAAGCCCGTCGAGTGTTTCGCGAGTCGTCGCCTCGACGCCAGTCTCGCGTTTCCCCTTCGGAAGCGGCTCGCGTTTCGCGTGACCAAGGAGCAGCCGCGAGGACCAAGGAGGACGAGCAGGACGAGCCTGATGGATCGAGACCTGCGTGTCGCAGGAGACGGAGACGCGCCTCGTCCTCGGGACGACGGCAGTATGCGCGTCGACGGTCGCGGTCTCCTCGTGGACGGACACCTGACGGATGGATCGTCCTGGCAGCTCCTGCCTCCGCCAGGCGTCCAGCTCCGGCGAGATGCAGCGCGACGCACGTGCAGCCCCGCGACGAGGCCGCTCGATAGCTCGCACGGATCGCGCTCACCCCCTCGAGAGAGAGAGAGAGAGAGAGAGAGAGAGAGAGCGAGAGAGAGAGAGAGAGAGAGAAAGAGAGAAAGAGACCCCTGTCGAGTGCGACGCCCAGGAGGCCAGCGAGGAGGAGCGAAGGGGACCAGGGCAGCGAGTCCTGGTGGAGCTGACCTCGACGACGAGCTCCCTTTCGTCACTGGCTCGTTCGCGGTCTCTCACGGCTCCGGGGAGACTTCCTTCGCATCTTGGCGCATCGCCACTACGCCCTGCTCTCCTTTCTCTCACAGTCTCGGCGACGCGACCAGAAGAGAAGATCAGAAGAAGGCCTGCCGCCTCCTTCGACGGCTCGCTGTCTTCCAGGATGCGCGCGCGCGCGCGCGAGTGTCCTCGCCACTGCGCGGTCCAGCCTCGACTCGAGCTGACTCGGAGATCGCTGCACGACGCTAACTCGCGAACTCGTCCATCACTCGACTACTCGCAACCGCCGTACGAGTCCGCTCACCACTGCTCGCTCGGTGCGCCGTGCGCCGACCGAGCGCGACGCGACGACACCCTCGCTCTCCGCTCCTTCTACCCCCACCACGGCTGCGCCACGGCAGGAACGTATGATCGTAGGAAGCGGTTGGCGCGCGGCAGGCAGGATGCGCGATCGCCTTCGGAGTATCGGCTGTCTCTCTCTCTCTCTCTCTCTTTCTTTCCCCCCTCTCTCTCTCTCTCTCTCTCTCTCTCTCTCGCCGCGAAGTCACTTCCGCAAGTGCGGTGTGAACCTGTGAAAAGGTATTGCTAAGGTGCTTTTCTTTTCATTCTTTCTTTCTCGGCTATACTTTGGCGCTTTTTTTTTTCACCGACTGGATATCCGCTCCGGCGAAGAAGTCGGAGATGGGAGCGCCGCGCGCGCGCGCAGGCTTCTCACCTTCCCGCGGGTCCTTTATCGGACGCGCTTGTTGAATCAAGTGGGAAAATGCAACGGTGATAACGGTGGTGAGGACGGCGGACGAAGTGTGTTCTTTTCAGCTGCGCTGAGAAACTTCGTCCGACGCCGCGCCGGTTTGCGCGCTCGCTTCGCTCTAGTGGCAAAAAGCGCCGCTTGTCCTTCGGCTTGAGAAGAACGGATCTCGGATCGGCGGATCTCGAGCGTGTCGGATGCGTTGACTTTGTTACGTCACTTTGTTAATCCGATGAACTCTCCTTCCCCGGCATCTCACAGCGATATCGAGTTGGCCGATGTTGTGACGTTTTCTCAAACGTGTAGTCTTTAACGTTGCATCGACGTCGTTAGTCGGCACTTTTACATTTCTAATGTAATATAATTTTTATAATTCTCTAATAATTAATAATTTTTATTAATTTTAATTAATAATAATAATAATAATAATAACAATAACTAATATAATAATAATTATAATTTTGTAAATTATAACTTTAAGTTATAATTTTTATAACTTAATTTTTGTTATAGCTGCCGCAATCTTAGAAAAGGATATTTGATTCATTAACTCGTGCTTTACAAGCAAGTAACCTAGACACACATTGTTATAAAAACTGTTTCAAATTCCTGCCGCATCTGCAAGTTTCTCGAAAGTACAGCCATCCACGATAATGTCGGGGGGAAATATTACATAGGTTTTTTCAACCTCACAAACGACAAGCGGCAAAAATATGCCAACGTCGCGACGAACGATTTTTCATTTAATATCCATCAGAAATCATCAAAGTCGACGTCGGGTATTATCCTGAAAAAAGCATCGCACCAGCGTCCTTAACACGTTGACTGTCAATTACGAGATATCTCGTAGGTTGTTTACTTGCCCAGGACGCCTACTACGAGTTATCTCGTCCCTTCATTACTTGCCATATTTGTACAGCTACGAGGAAACTTGTAGCATAACAGTGTAAATATGAATAGATGGCCTCAGGAAAGAGAATAAAAAATCAGGTTTGGCTTAAATGAACAGAAAATACAATTATACAAAGTTTATTCAAAAAGAAAAAGTTTATATAAGGAAATACATTTTTATGTTTTATGATTGTGATAATTTTTAAAACATGTTTAAAAAAAAAACATTTTTTAAGCCTTTTGATTATTACTATGTACTATTATTAAAGTTTTTTAATAATATAACATGATTAAATCAAATTGGCTCTTTAGACCGAAATCGCGAAAAATTCCGTGGCAGTCAACGTGTTAACCCTTTTACTTCGCGGCATATTTTCATCGCTGTCGCCGCCTCCTGAAAGCCACGCTTGAAAAATCCAGTTTTCGCGGACATGCGTCCGCCGAGACTCCCTCACTCATCGTTCCCACGCGAGTCTCTCAGGTACACCCTGTATGCACGTATAAATATCCTCGAGTAATTTCTACGAGAAATTACAAGCCGGTCATATCGATCGCTCGCCGGCGCGGTTCTGGCGCGAAGAATCCCGGAATGCCACGGGCTGCGCGCAATATCGCGCGCGCGCGCGTGCGAGAGAGAGAGAGAGAGAGAAAGAGAGAGAGAGAACGGCGCCGCGCTTGATGCGCCTCGCAGAAGCGCCCGCGATATTCGGCGCGTCGAGGCCGAGGCGAGCGTGTGCACGAGGGGGAAAAAACGCGAGCGGATATACGACGGCGGGTGTCTCCGCGGCTGCTTCATTAAGCGCGCGGCCGCAGCACACAACTTCTATATTATACACTAGACCAATGTTTTTCAATCTTTTTTATCTCACGGCACAGCTGAACTTATCACAGTTAAACTTCCGCGGCACACTTAAATCATGATGATTAGAGATGTGCGAACTATTCGAATTCGAATCCGAATAATTCGAATAGGAATTAACTACATTGTCGTTTGCGTGCATTAGTTACAAAACGAGCCATCTGGACCTATGTATGTTTGAACCCTTAACTTGTAGTTAACTTAACTTATAATTAATAACTTAATTATAAATTACTATTATAAATTACTTTAAATATTTAAATATATATTTTATTGTACTTTAAGATGATATTACAATATCAATATTCCCTTTCATATTAAAATCTTCCATCACTGTTTGCATGTTTGATAGTCATGTTAAATTTTTTAATGATTCAATTCGATTTCCTTCGATTTGGCTCGAATTCGAATGGAATTTCATAGATTCGATTCGATTCGAATTCGAAATGAAAAAATGAGATTCGATTCGACATAAAAATTTTTGATTCGCACATCTCTAGTGATGATCAGTAAAAGAGTATAAAAAGGAATGTATTACTTTTTCTGATTTATTCATTCAGACAAAATGCACCGTCACGTCCTAAAAATAACACAGAACAATCTATTATAACTTACAATAAAAAGATAACAATTAAAATTCTTGAAAATTTTCGCGGCACACCGGTTGAAAATCACTGCGCTAGACCGACAACTGCTTCCTTTGACACGTCCCCTATAAGTATGTATCAAAATTTCGCGCATGCGCACTGCAAGTGGTCCCGAAAGTAACTTCACCGCGCAGGCATTTTCACTTCCAGAAAATGTTAATATTTATCCAATATTTAATATTTCCTCTCGCAATGTCGCATTCAATGATACGCATACGGTGTGTTCGCATAAATATTAAATATTGAATAAGTACTAACATTTTCGGGAATAAAAATGCCTGTACGCTGCAGTTACGTTCCTTTCGGGATCTTGCGATGCGCATGCGCGCACGATTCTATGTTTTACGTAAAAAGGACGCTTTTGTAACGGAAAAACCGATGAAAGTTCTCAGTCTAGCTTACATATGAAGTCTATGGGCCGGAGAGCGACATGTGCGCGCGCGCGTGCGCGCGAGAAAGAGAGAGAGAGAGAGAGAGAGAGAAACGCGCGCGCCGGAAAACAGCGCGCGCTTTCCACGATCGCGCGCGCCTCGCACAGGATCCTGCGCAACGGCGCACCGTGAGAAAGCGCATTGTCTCTGGCGTATGGTGGCACACAAAGGAAACGCGAAGGTTCATGTACACACGCATGTTGCCGTCGAGACGGAGCCGCGCGCGCGCGCGCGCGCGGCGCTTCCAAGTCTCGCTCGGCTTAACGCGCAGAATAAACGCGCGCTCGCGCGGAGAAGCCCGGCTGATATCCCGTCGCCGACGGAAAGACGGACGAACAATGGGCCGGTCATCGGCTGCGGGGCGGGGCGGGGAGGGGGGGGAGTCAACTCGCGTCGCGGCCCGTTAGAAAGCCCCTCCGAGTATCTTTATAATAAATATCGCCTTGTGCGCGCGAATCGCACGCGCGCCGCGGCGACGTGGCGCGAAACCGAGCGGAATGAAGAACGCGGGAAAATGTATGTTGCACTCGGGAACTTTCAGAAAGCACCCGCGAGAAACGCTCGGAATGACGTCGAGCGGATGGCCTTGAGTGGAGTTCCACCGACGCGAACGAGTTCGATGCTGAAAAGTGTTTAGATAACCGTTACGTACGTGCTGATATAATATTACACTACTTTGCTGTGGTCGTGTAGTATTCGCTAGTCAGCCGTTTTGTCGCTCGAACGATTATCTGAGGTGTTTCCTAATATTCTAAATGTTAGGTTAGATTAATCTAACGAACGTTTAATCTGACCTATTCATTCAGTGCGTGAAAAATCTGCGGATGTAAAGTGACACTGAGAACGACGCATAATGTTGCTTGAGTATTCTCGGCGTTGAATTTACAGCGATCAGGCGTGCGTGATTCTCTGAAGTTTGTTTCAAGTTTATCTCAAAGAGAAGAGAAATTTGTCTCACGTTTTACTTGTAAGTTTATCGCGATTCTAGTAAATTTAATACTCTCAATTGGGAATATTGCATGAAAATGAATCCGCTTTGTTTCCGCACACGAGAAAGATATTGCGCAAAAGTTGCGGCGACATTGCTACAACGTAGCTGCTGCAATATTGCACAACATTGCTGCAACGTTGCGGCGACATTGCAATATTGTTGCAACGTTGCAGCAATGTTGCTTTATGGGAAAGTTTTACATCCTGGACCGCACAGAAATATGGAGTCGCGCTTTTCTTTCATTTTTTTTTCCGTTGTTTATAATTTCTGTAGCAATTCGTACTATCGACACATCAGCCCAGCTTTGCAAAGATACTGCAAAGAAAGAAGAGTATAAGATCGTAATCGCATCGTGTATCGAGATTATCGAGATGCCGGTCGGCAGGATTTTCCGCCTCGATCATCGACTCGAGACAATCGGAGCGCTTTCGCACTCTCACAGCCGGCTCTCTGTCTTATCAAGTCGACTTTCACCAAACTCTGATTGATCCAATTGACGATAAAATAAAATTGCTGTCGCCACTCAACTCGTCTGCTCTAATTCTCTGGGCTAAGAGAAACGAGACTAACTTTTCAGTTATCGCTGGGTGAGACGAGTTACACAGCTGAAATTCGTCTGGGATTTCGCCGATTATCCGCCGATTAGTCTAACCGGGGCAGTCGGATGAAAGTCACCCCCTCGTTCGCGTCGGTGGAAAGCCGGAGGAACAATCGAAACAATTAGGTTGGTGTTTATCTAATTTTCCCGTCACTTGGGGAGAAATTTTCGCCGCGCCAAATGGACGAGTGCCTGTGGAACGGCAGGAGGAATCCTGCCGGATATTTCTAATCGCTCAACTGCTCTCAGTTGTCTCCAGTCGAGTTTCGAGGGGATGTCGAACTGGATGACGAGCTCCGAAGTCGATGACGATCGTCCAAACGAGCAACACGATCACGCTGCGCTTTTCGTATTTTTCTCGCACATGAGAAATCTCATATAAATGCGTTGCTTTGTTCTACTTATACACAGCGATACCTATGAGCGAATGATGGTAGGTGAATGTTCTACCCTTCATCTACTTAACCTCAAAATTTGAGCGAATTCGGTTGATATTTCACTGTGGTTTGACATTTTATGTAAAGTCACTTTGTGTACGTCGGTCGGAAAACCAACTTTTAAATTGGGTAAAAGTGGTGCAGAAACGTACGAAACGCTAAAAAATGTGTACGGGGATGAATGCGTGTCCCGTACACAGGTTTTCCGTTAGTTTGGCCGATTCCGTGACGGTCGTGAGGACCTTGCAGACGATGACCGAGCACCGCCGCCAAAAACCACTCGCAATGAAGAAAACATCGAGAAAGTCAAAGAAATTCTTCAAAGCGACCGCTATGTGTCCGCCCAGATATTATCTGGGAGTTCTAGAATGATTGTGGGCCAGAATTCGACGAGTTCGACCGGAATATCGAGAGCCAGGCAGTTGGTTTTTGTTGCACGATAATGCACCATCGCACAAAGCCATCATGGTACGTGAATTCTTGATCAAAAAAGGCATTGTTATCGATCATCCACCGTATTCACCTGATTTAGCTCCGTGTGACTTCTGGCTATTTCCCAAACTGAAATTGGCGATGAAAGGAAATCGTTTCGATACCATCCCGGTCATCCAACAGACTTCGACCGCCATACTAAAGGCCATTCCAGCCGATGAGTATAAAAAATGTTTCGAAAAATTTGTTGAACGTTTCCAGCGCTGTATTGACTCAGAAGGAGACTATTTTGAATAAACAAGAATAAAAAATCAAAATAATAAACGCTTTGTATTTTTTTTAGACCAGTCTCATTGGATCTGGGACAGACTGTGTATATATTTAACAATAGAGCACAAGCAAAAACGAATGTTGCAATGAAGAATGCATCCTCCTTCTTTTCAATATTCAAGCTATGGATAAATCTTTTTTGCAAAATTTGCGACGAGCGAGAAACGTATCCACGTGTGTGGCACGGGGCATCTTTTTGCAAATCTGGCGCTTTGAAGCTTCGAGATTCTTCCAAAAAATTAAACTGAAATTTTCCTCAATCCTTGCGCCAACTCACGGCTCGAGTGAGTCTCGAAGCTTCCTGTCACACATTGAGAAACTCATTGTTGCGCGTACCCTTTGGTCGCTTTCGTAACTCTGCACAACCGAGACGACGTGAACTTTGCAAAAAGAGGTTAGCGTTCCGTCGATGAAGTTTGCATGTGTGATCGTAAAGCCCGTGTCACACTACAGGTTGAAGATCAAGGATTGCGGATTGAAGATTGAAATTTGACCAATCGGAATAAAGCGAATCAAAACCGAAGTTCGTTGATTTGTCGAAATCTAATCTTCAATCCGCAATCCTTGATTTTCAATCCGTAGTGTGACAAGGGCTTAAGGCAGCTGAATGCTTATAGATAAGAGTTCGTTCCCGATTGCACGGATAAATGCGGCGCTCGCGCGAAATTCGGGTTACCCGGGGGGGGGGGGGGACAGTTTCGAAGCGTCGAAACCGAAGCCGGGGCCGGATTTAAGTTCGCAGCGGAATCGGTCAAACAGACGCGTTCACACGCAGCAACCCGGATCTCTTCTGGAAATTCGACAATCGATGGGTGAAGAATATCCGGCTGCGATTTCCGGCGACTTAAGGCGGGAATTACATGCGGAGCAGACCGTTTTCGAACAGGCTATTTTTACGAATTTTTTTTTTAACAGAAACGATAAGATCAACGGACTTGAAATTTTCACGGTGTATTCGATATAACGATCAAAGTATAAAATAAATTTGATTGAATCACAAGAGCCGGTTCAATTTGTAATTATAGATAAAAATGCAGTCATCCGTTTGCGAGCTCTATGTCTGCTATCGACATAATTTCGAGCCTCTCACTGTGCTGAAACCAAAAAATGAAAAAGATTTTTAAAATGTACAGTTGCCGTTACAGCTCGTACCAAATTGAGGGCAGTGACGCCAAGTTTGGCAAAATAATGACTGTACAAAGAAAAAGTATCGGAAATGAAACTTTTTTCAACTTGTAATCATGTTTAAAAAAATATATATAAAATAAAATATAATTGTGTTCGAGGTAGGGGCGAAAACTACATGTCTACTGTATATGTTGTGTAAAAATTTCAAGTTATTCGGTTCAGTTGGTTTTTTTTGCGTAATCGTGTCGACAGTTTAAGAAAATGGTATTTCCCGATAAACGCGTTTAAAGTTTTACGCGTACTTTCCATATAGATAGTGACAAATTTATTTTATACTTTGAACATTAATGAATACACCGTGAAAACTTCAAGTCCACTGATCCTACCGTTTCTGTGAAAAAAAAAAAAAATGCGTAAAAACAGCCTTGAAAACGGCCTGCTCCGTTTATCCGTAATTCCTCCGTAATAACCACCGAAATCGCTTATTTTAATTAACTCATTGCTTATCTCAATTATCTCAATTGAAATATGCTTGTTCTCGTTCATTTGAACAATGATATTCTTTTAATAATATCATCATTTCAGAATCACTTCGAGTAATCTCAAGTTATCACGATTTCCTCCGCTTTCTTTTTTATACGTGTGACCCGAATTCGCTTCTAAAATCGGACCTCCTGTTATAATCCGAAGTGGGACTTGAATATTTTTCTTTGAATACTTCCGGGTGAAAAGGACCTCGCGTATCCTCCAGATACAGACGTGATTCCTGTCAGCGACTTTTCGCGCGTTCGGATCCTTCCGCTTCGCGAAGGAGCACAGCGATAGACACCAGAGCGCGTTCGTACGCCCCTGCGCCTCCACTATTCGCTTCGTCGTCCTCGTGTCCCAACCTGCCGCCGTCTCCTTCACGCTCGTTTGCGCAGCGCTTGCACTTTCTCTTTCCTTCTTCTCCCTCGTGCTCGGCGCTCTGCCGCCGTCAAGCCGGGGCAACACGCGTCGTTCCGTCATGCGTATTCGGTCATTCACACACGGTATACCTGTTCCAACATTTCAGATGCACTAAGTGCGTATCTAAATATAGGAACGGGAATAGGAGAAGAGGAGAGACCAGAGAGAGAGAGAGAGAGAGAGAGAGGGAGAAGGGCGCCGGCCGGTCGGTCGGCGATCCGCTTGAAAAGTTCGCTCGCGTGTCTTCCGCACGCACGCGACTTCGCGGAGCCGGCGGAAAGCGCGCTCTCGAGCAGATTTCGGCGAGGAATCGTTCAATGTCGCCCTGTGTTATCTCGCGTTCCAATCGCGCTTCTCGAGTCGCGCGAATCGCGAAACGGCGAATCCGCTGAATTCGAAGAAGCCAGCGAGTATTTCCAGGATCGCGCAATTCCAGCGGAATTTCCTCTCTCTCTCTCTCTCTCTCTCTCGGTCGCTTTCGATTTACCGACCGACCCTCCCCCCCGCCCCCGGCTTTTTCTCCAGCATTTCTCGGCGGCGACCGCGTACGAAAATACGGCCGAGCCGGCGCACCTATAATTAGTCGCCGAACGCCGCTCGATACGCCGTTCTATTCCATCGATTTCCGTCGAAAGTCGAGTCGCGGGCTCGGCTCGAGCGAGCGGCTCGCTAGAAATAGCATCGAGAGCGCCTTCGCGAGACAAGTGCGCCGCGACACGAGGCTGCACCTGGCCGTGCACTCGACGGGCGCATTCGTCGCCGCCGCCGCCGCCGCCACCGTCGCCGTCGCCGCCACCGCCACCGCCCGCAGTCGACGACTCGCTATAGTAACTAGGGCGAGAGAGGCGCGAAGCAGCGCTACCTGTCGACGGGGCGCGTACTATTCTCAAGGAATAGGCGACCTAGAAAAGCCGCCTGCTGGCGCGTAGTTGGCGTGCACTGACGGACAGCTGGCGACGGTGCGACGTTGTTTTCCGGGAACCACGAGGAGAGGCGGAGGGGAGCAGCAGCTCGTCGGTGATGACGACGCGGAATTTCACGGAGTGTCAGGTGAGAAAGTCCGCGGCCGCGCGCGCGCGCGGCGATCGTCTCCTGCGACTCTTGCTAGTTCGCTGGTCTTTTCAGCTGTGCGGTGCGCCAAGCGACTAAGAGAGGTCCAGGTCTCTCTCTCTCTCTCTCTCTCTCTCGACACGGATGTTGCGTCTCGTCGACGTGCGTTTTACGACGTGTTCGTGTCGGAGGACCTAGTGCTACCTGTGCAGAAGTCTGCTTCTAATTGCGTCGAGCGAACAATGGCGCTGGGGAGTCCGCCTCGTTGAGACGCCCGGAGCGACAGGATCGACAGGGTGAGAGGGGAGGGGATGTTTTGTTTGTCTTCTCGGACCTAACCTGCTTCACGGACGCGCCTCCTCGTCGGCCGATAACGTCGGTGTGTGCGCACGCACGCGCGCGCGCGCGCGCGCTCGATTAGTCCGATACACGCGTTCTCTCGACCGGGCGGGCGACTATCGTCGCGTGATGACTTCATCGCTCCGCTCAGCCACTTCCTGGTCTCTTTGTCAGTGTTCCTCTCGCCGCAACGACGACCGCCAGAGACGAGCGTGATTCGCGTGCACCCTGTGCAGGCTGTTGTGCGACGTCGACGACTGGGCCGGCCCGGGAACGAGCAGCAGGAGGACCCAAAGCTCGAAGCTCGCTCGACTGCGGGTGATCGCGTCCTCCATCGGGACGGTGGCGGCCACGAAGATGCTTCAGAGACGCAACCGCGGTAGAAGACGTGCCCTCATTGTGACGTACCCCGGTAGCGCGCAACATGAACTCGCTGCTGAAGACCGTCAACTCCATCGCGCTCAACAAGAAGAGGAACCTCCTCGTCAGGGACTCGCTGCAGAAGCAACTCAACACCAACGTTATGGAGATGCAGAGCGCGCCTGGGGCGGCCGACGACGGTGTCGTGGGCAACTGCGACGAGAGCATGAGCTTGTGCTCCGTGTTGGAGGCCATCTTCCTGCACGGCTTGAAGGACAGCCTGCTGAACCGCGTGACCGAGGCCTTGAGCGGGCCCGACTTCGACGCCATGCCGCAGCCGAGCTTCTGGGGTCCGCTGCTGGTGTTCTCGCATCGCCAGATCATAGACCAGATACAGACCTTGAGCCAGGTGACTACAGAAGTCGGCTACTGCCGCGCCTGGATACGAATGGCTCTCAACGAGGGCCTGTTAGCTAGCTACTTTTGCGCCATCAAGCGCGACAATTCGGCCTTGAAGCCCTATTACAATCGTTCGGCTTACATCAGGGACACGGACTACGTTGAGGTGGCGCAAAGGTTGATAGAGAACTTGGACTACGTGCGCTTCGAGCTGGTCTGCAACAGCAGCCTCTTGAACTTCTGGTCTACCACGCCGCTGCTGATCGCCGGCATCTGGTCGCCGCCGATGAAATCTTGCCCCGTGTTCAGCGCGGTGGACATTGCCAAGACCATCACCACTGACCTGACCGACAACGAAAACCTAGACGAGATAGAGACCGCCAGCTCTATCGGTAGTCTGGGCTCATTTACATCGTCGCAGTCGATGTTCAACAACATAGCGTCCATCACGGAGGACCAGGCTCTGAAGATCATCTTGGCCAATGAGCAGTCGGACAATGTACTCGGGGAGCTGCACGGCAACCCTGCGGATGCCAGTAAGCCGGACGAGGCTAATTCAGCGGACACGATAGAGAAGCTGGAAGAGTCGAGACGACAGACCAGGCAGACCAGGCAACAGCTGACGAACGGCAGTGCGGATGAGAAGAACGCAGAGCCGACGAGTGCCGTTGTTGTCGCTGCTGCTGATGCGGAGGACTCGCAGGACGTTCCGCGGGAGAATGAGGACGTGGAGGTGAACGACGCGGCCGGGATTACCGTAGGCAATTCGTTGATAGGAAGATTAGGATGGTCCACTTCGTTCGAGGAGTGCCAATCTTCTTTAACTTCATCTGTGATATCTCACGGCTCAGGCGCGGCAACGGACGCGGCGCCTTGTTCGCCCGGCGACGGTTCCACGTATGACGCGCTCATCCAGAGCTACCACACTGGCGGAAACAGCACGGTGCCGAATCTGCAGGAATTCCTCAAGAAATATCCAAAGAAGGAGACCATCGACGGCGAGGCCAAGGCCCAGGCTGAGTCGAAGGTGCGTTTCTCTTCGACGAGTTCCCTCGAGCCACGACTCGGTTCTTCGTTGTCGTCTACCTTGCCTCTGTTTTCATCCGCAGGTTGTCATCAATCTCGAGGAGCAGTTGGGCAGACTGCCGCGGGAGAAGGGCTTGGACGTGCAGAATTACAGTTGTCTCGACTGCGGCGAGGCGATCGGCATGACCTTCTCCAAGGCGCACATATGCTCGTACTCGGGTGATTACTATTGCTCCAAGTGCATGGCGGATGGACAGTACCTCGTGCCGTCGCGCATGATCCACAACTGGGATCTGAAGTATTATCCGATTTGCCAGAAGGCGGTCGCCTACCTGCAGGGCCAGCCGGCTCTGTTGGACATGAAGATCCTGAACCCGAGGATCTACAAAGCCGTGGACGCGATGGCTCGGTTGCAGTCGCTGCGGATACAGCTGAATCTGCTGAGAGCGTACTTGTTCACGTGCCGTGAGCCCATCATCGAGTCCCTGCAGAAGAAGGTCGCGCCAAGGGACTACCTGTACGAACACGTTCATCAATATTCCGTTTCAGACTTCCTCGACATACCCAACGGGATTCTCGCGCAGCAGCTCCAGAAGGTCGTTGAGTTCGCGAGGGGTCATGTGATAAATTGCTGGCTCTGCAGTCAGAAAGGTTTTATATGCGAGGTGTGCAACAATCCAAAGGTTATCTATCCGTTTGACATGGAGTCCACATTCCGGGTGAGTAAGAGCCACCTTATCGTCTTTTGTTATCGCTTCCTTGGTGCTGCATTAAATAGGCTGCAGAAGGCCTGTCGTTCCGTCGCCGTCGTCGTTGTTTGTCGTTGTTTGGGCTGTAGTCGCGCAGGTATGAAATGTATTCGGAAAGCGACATCGCCGCGATAATGAAAGCTCGATAGGCTTATTTATAGTGCGTCTACTCGTCAACTTGGAGCGACAGTTATATTTACATTATGGCTTCGCGGTAGGAAAGCGACGATAACGTGACGATAACGATAGGAAAGGCAAATAGTTACAAGGTGACAGTTACAGGACAGGTCTGTGATGTACTTGATACCTTTTAATGAGAATTATCGTTTTTTATCGTTATTATGTTTTCATTCAGTATACGTGATATTGTATAACAACATAACGATAAAGACACCGAGAGTGAGTTGTTGAGTAGACCACCCGTTGGGTTCGTAGAAATTCGTGGGTTACTTATTTATTCGGCTACCAGCCGAGATAATCGGAGCCAGGAAACAATCGGGTATTCGCGGCCAAGAATCCGGTCTGCGGTCTGCGTTTTCATCAGCTGACTTGGACTTTCGTCCAAGCTTTGTTTTCGTCCAAGATGCTGCATTAGTCACGGCATTCGGGCGATTCGCGGTGTGATGTGCGAATCAAGTCGAGTCGTCGGAACTTGAGTCTTTAATTAATAACGTAATTAACGAAACATGACCTACAGGAGCCAGTCATTGGATGTTTGTTGATGAACAATTTTCAACCGCGGGAGATCAGTGTTCCAACGTGTGACAACACACACGCTCGGTGAGAATCAAACCTTCCACACACGTCAAGTTAACTTCAATTATTTTAAATAATCTAAGAGAGAAATTAAAATTTAGAACAATTCTACATAATCATTAGAATAACGGCTTGATCAGAGCCGGCTCCTTTCAAGAATCGCAAAAATCCTTGCCGGCTGTCTGGCCTGACCTGGCAAGGGGCCTTGGCCCTGCCGGATCTTGGAGGAAACCAGTAAACGCAAGACCTGCGTTGCAATTTCCTCAGTTCGAAGTAGCTCGAATTCGACCTTGGTTCGCACATCCCTGACGAGCGGCTCAGCCGCTCGAGTACTCGAGTATCCGCTCACTGAAGCGGCGTCTTTCATTATCCGACTTTCTCTCTTGTCTCCCTCGCTAATTTTACGACGTTCGATTGTTCACAGTGTGGGGCGTGCAACGCCGTGTTCCACGCGGACTGCTTGAACGCCAGTAAACCGTGTCCAAAGTGCGAGCGCAGACGCAAACGGATGGACTTACCGCTCTTAGACATGGGCTGTACGGACCTGCCGAACAGCAGCATGTCGTCGTCCCCGGTCGACACGAATTGATGGGAATCAATGTTAACGCTTCACGCCAACATCGACACGTTCGACGACTCCTCTTCATTCTTTCCCTTCTTTTCCTAACAATACTCAAGCAGTATTGTTTGTAATGAACGATGACTCGCATTTCGGAAGATTTAGTCCAATTCGATGCTCGATGACCGCGCTCATCTCCGTAAGATGTCGCACGCGTGATGATGAGAACGGAGACCCCCGTTCTCCCTCGTGCGAACGACATCGGCCGAAATACCGCCTCCGCTGCGCTGCATGCAAGAACGTCGTGCGTGGGAGCGTCGAGTCCTACCGATATTTTTCGACGGTCAGCCGGATCAGCGCCGCGACCTCTTGTCGTGATTCGCGACTTGTCCCTCTCCTTTCACATCCTTGCAAGAGGGGCTCGCTCGGCGGTGCGAGACCGGCTGAGAAGAAACGGATATTTGTACTCCATGAGACTGGCAGCTTTCTACATATAGGCGAACACGCGTTGTGTCTTTGCATGTGATATGCAGGTTTATTGTAATTTTATGTACAAAAAGTAGTAAAATATATGAAATCATCTATTTACCATATGATCGTTATCCGTTATGTTTAATATGCTGCTGCGTCTTTACATGATCTCGCGAGTTAGCATGCGTGTGCTGGGACAGAATTAAATTTACTCTTATGAATATCTGTGTGTGTAAATACATGTACATGTATACATACATCTTCTTTCACGGTGTACAATTTGAAAGGGAAATTCCGCGCAAGGATCACGCTTTCATCCGGTATTACGATCGGCGACACTCCTCGCCCGAGTATACAATGTGGAACTGAGATTTACAGTGAATCGTACGACTACGGCGAAACTTTCTAGTCTACCTCGTGATATAAGGCACGTTTCTCTCTCTCTCTCTCTTTTTTTTTTTTATATTAATCGTCTAATGGTCTCTCGTCCGACCCTGTCGCAAATCGTAAAGTTAGAGAGCTCTACAAATATATCCTTTCCTTTGTATAATTTTCTCGTTTGTATATAAAAATATTTATACAGCTACTATAAAATCTTCAGAACTAGTATTACTTTCCAGGTACCTATCAGAATGTGATTAGCCTTAAACGTACGAGTGACTACAAGATCTAATAAGCAACGTTATGCTAAGTGTAAACGTAAACATTGAGACAGACCGGCGGAAAATTGTGCTACGTCGATCTTCGAGCGATTACTCCAGAGTTTATCAGTTACAAAGGCCACGCCCACGTTTTCGACAGTATTTGGCACAGATGTCCACAGCGTACGAATGTCTCTGAAGGACGAATTTAAGCTTAAAATAAATACAGAACGGGGAATCCAGCTGAAAGCTCGAGCGCTCTAGAGCTGCGTGTTAATTGGGTCACGAATGTCGCGAGCCAATCCAAACTGTCGATCTACAAGTACATATTATGCGTCATATTATGAATGTAAAAGTTTGGAATTTTCAGCGGGACACTCTCTTCTCAAGGCGATGTTCGCGCATCACAAAAAAAATTACGTTCGTCGTGTTACGGCGATAACGCCGAGCCGAATCGGGGCTAAAAGTGCGGACGGATTTGAAAAATCCACGTAGAGAATCCCCCGCGAGGTACGCCTCGTACAAAAATCATTCGACCCACTCTTTTCGGCTTTACAAAGAGAGAGACTCTTCACCCGACGGTACCGCTTCTCGCGGGTCGCTCCGTGCACGCGCGCCTGTGTGTGGTTCTACGCAACGAGATCGGTGTGCGCCGCGCTATATACACATACAGCTATATATATTATTGCTATCATCTTCCGGATTACATCGTTAATCCTACACTGATACAGCGAGATCGGCTCGACGCGCGCCACGCATCCGTTAGCTTCAATTTATATCTTACAGAGAAAATCAGATCGCCATCTTCATGACGCGGTGGCAGTGTAGGATTAACAGCCGCTCGGAAGCTCACTTGGTGGCAAAAGTGTCTTATAATAATACTTATCGTTCTCGCAACTATTTGTACTATCTCCAAGACGGCGGACGCGGAGGAAATTCGGCGTCGCGCTTTTGCCGTTTCTACATTTTGATTCTCAGACCGGCGTTCGTAGTCGGATCGTCAGCGCTCGAGATCGCGTATTGCGGCGTATCGAGCTGCAAAGCGGCCGAAGATGCAAGAGCCGCCCTTGAACACCGGCCTCAAAGTGCTCCGACGCTCGTCATTAGTCCCTACGATTGGTAATCCCGTCAATCCAGGCGTCGGGCTGTCAGTGCAAGGTCTTCGGGAAGTACGCCGAGGGCAAGATCGGTTTGTCGGACAGACCCGCCCTTCTCAATCCGCCCTGCAAACCGACGTTTGTACTCTTCGCTTTTGTACCGTTCGACGACACGGTCGGGTTGTTGTTCTCGATTATGGCCGGCACCGACGACGAGCCCGGCGGATTTCCGGCAGTCGGCAGCTTGTTCAACGAATTGAAGCGCTCCATGGGCGTGCTGGTGCTCGAGATCTGGCCGGTCTTGTTGAACGTGCTCAATCCCACCGAGCTGTCCGTCACGCCGACGCCCATCGATCGGGCTGACGTGCGGGTGGTTTGGTTAATGTTCGGATTCTGCACGATCGGGTTTTTCAACGGTAACCCCGTTAACGCACTGGGCTGGGTCGTGCTGGGCGCAGGAGTGCGCGTCTCGTATCGGTTGGGGAACAGCTTGTTCGTCCTGGGCAACGTCAACGGGACGGACGTGGGGATCGCGACCGGAGCCGGGGTGGTGGCGCTTTGCAGAGGCGACTGATTGTCCGCTAATCTCCGATTCAGCCAGCTGATCACTGCGGGAGAAACGAGATGGAAGCATCGCGTTAATTGCGGCCGGTCGAATTGGGGCTTCGCGTATTGCTGAACAAGAAGATGAGACGGCTTACCGTTGTCGTTGTTCTTGATGATCTTCTCCTTCTCCTCCAGCTGGTGCTGCAACGTCTTGATCTGCTCTTTCAGACTGTCCACCTCACCCTTCGCATCTTTCGCGTCTCTGACGAGACTCTCCATTTTCGTCTCCAGTTGGCCGACCTCTTTCTGCTTGGTGTCCAACAGTCTCTCCTGCTCGAGCGCTATGCTCGTTCTCAGCTTCAGCTTGGACTTGGTCGACGCGAGCTCGTTTTGCAGTTTGGTCAGGATCTCGTTGGCCTTCACCAACTCGTCGCTTAAACTCTTCAAGGAGTTCTGCTTGCGCTGCAGCTGACCGTCTCTCTCGGATAAGAGATCCTCCAAGTGCTGCTTCTGCTCCTTGCCCGATTTTAGCATCTCCACGTGTTTGTTGATGATCACCATCTTGTCCTTCAGCTCCTGCTCGAGCACAGCTACCTTGGTGCGCAAGCTGTTGACGGCTTTGTCCTTGTCGTGGTAATCCATATCTAATTTCGAATTTTGGTTCTTAAGTAAAGTCAGATCGCGTTGCGTGATGTTGAGTTCCTTCTCGAGATTCTGCAGTTGTTTTATTTGCTCGGCGTTGGTAACTTCTAAAAAAGACTGCTTATCTTTATACGCCATGTTCTGTGTTCGCAACTCGGCAAGCTCTGTGTGCAATTGCTTCACAGTTTCGGAATGCCTGTGCTCAACCTCTATTTTCTCCTTCTCACTCTGTCGTTGCCATTCTAGCCGTGCTTGAGACAATCTGAAAAGTGACGATATATTCTCATGTAAAGAACCAAAAAAGGTTTTTGTTGCGTTTCATTTATCATCCTTATATTGACCCAAGTATTGAGATGCTAAAATCAATTATTGAATAATGCCAGATTATTCAATAAAACACACTTTACATACCTGTCTTTCTCAATACTTATTTGCTGCGACGAATTAATTTGTATCTGGCTTTTCTCAGTCAGATATTTCTGCTCCAACTGGTCCAGCTCCTTTGTTTTTGCCTCCAACTTACTCGTCAGATCATTTAACCTAGTTTCTAAACCAATCATATCCCTATTCTGTTGCAAAGCACTCTCCTTCAGTTGCTTGATCTTCATCGCCATGTGTGTCTTCAAATCACAGTCACTAGCAGGTGACATATTCAGGCTCAAGTGGCAGAGGTGCTTGAAATTATTTGTCTCCACGAGCTTGAAGTTCCAGTCTCCAGACTCCTCCGCTAATAGCAGGAGAAACTTTGGCGGGGTCTTTGACAAGCCTGCGCTTGGAATTTGACATTGCTCCAGTAGGCATATCAACTGAGTGGCAAAGTTATCGAAATCAACCAGCAGACCCTGCTGTGCTTTCAGCACTTTAAAGTCATCTTCAGTGATGAACAGAGAGTAAAGAAAACAAGGGTCGTCGTCGTCAGCTAGCAAGACACACAGACTCTGCAACAAAACACGAGAGTAGAGAGGATAATCAAGCGGGAGGGTCCATACGCGTCGAAGCTGTAGGGACCACAGCAAAGGCGCTGCCAAGGATTACCTTGCGGCAAACCGGACTGATGCCAGCGTGAATCTCCACGTTGATTCTGAGATCCCGCTGGCGTTCCTCCTTATGCTGCGGCTTGATGTAAATCCTCTGCACCTTCGTGTAAAGGACCTCGACGTTGTTCAGCTGGTGGTGGCCCGGGTCGGCGGTCGTCGTGCCGGCCGTTATATTGTTCAGATAATTCATCGCTCGGTCGCGCTCTCAGCAAGCACTCGTTGGTCTCGCGTCGCTCGACACGTCTCATTTGTCGATGTTGTGAGGAAAATCCGGCCAAAACACACTCGACGCGCAAGCACAAGCCGCTCCGATTTGCTTACATCGCAGCGAAACGCAAATCGACGCACGCGTATGCGCCGGTGCTGCTATCTTGGCAGCACGCGCTGCTACTAACTCGCATCCCGATGCTATCTCTCTCTCTCTCGGACGCGCGAGTCGACAGGTCTCCTTTTGGCTGAGCTAGAGCGCGGCTCTGAAACCCATCAAATAGTCTGTTCTTTTTAGCTGCACTGCGGAACTAGTACAATAAGTTAGAATGAGACAACTATATTTTTTCTCACCTTAACTTATTGCACCAATTCAGTAGTGCAGCTAAAAAGAACAGACCAAAAGTGACACTAAGGCCCAGTTCCACAAAATCAAGTTTAAACCGTGATTAGCTGAACTGACGTTATATTTAACGGCACGGTCAAACTTATATCGCGTTTTTCCACATCGTGTTTTTAACTGCAGTTTACTTAAACCTATAGTCTGTATGAAGAAACTGTCAAAGACTCTTTCTCTTTCTTTTCAAACGTAGAGTATGATTGGTTGTTGCTAAAAGTGAAAAGAGGGAAAATTGAAATAAGCTGGATGTTACGACATCAGTAGAGAACAAAATATATCTGTTTCGTATCAAGTAAGCACTAACCAACAGTAACATTTGCTGTATTTGTATATAAGTATTAATTTATTAAAAGGTGGAAATCCAGTGTTAATAATAATCAATTAGTTTATATTATTGATTTGATTGAATTTATCATACAATAATTGACTTCCTTAATAGCATATGGATGTCCAGAGGACGTCCAGAGTACGCTTTGAGGACGTCCTGGGGATGTTTCTTCATCCTCAGAACGTCCTTAGGATGTTCCCAGGAAAACATGTGCTATCAGGGTTTTATATATATAGTTGCTGCTCTGTTTTAGAATATAATCTGTCAAAGTAAAAAAAATCCAATATTTTAAATTAAACTTATATACTTACTGTACTGTTTTATGAGAAATTTCATGCTCGATTTCTGCTAGAACTGCAATAACAGATTCTTTTGATAATCTAAATCGTGCATAAAAATCGACATTATCAAATTCTTCCAAATATGATGGTCGTCTTCTTATATTTCTTGGTCCGTCGATAAATTAAGTTTTCAAAATCTTCATCTTCAGATGAAGATGATATGTATTCTAAAGCTATATCTCTTTGGCGTTCAAACGTTCAAAATATTTGTCAACTGAGCTCCAAAAGCGGAATACTCATAAATTTGTTTCTCAAATTGATGGTGCTGCAGTGTTAACTTCGTTTGAATTCATTAAACGCCCAAAGTTTTGGGTTTAACTTTAACTGTGAGAAATCGACGTTAACCATGGTTTAAGGCAGTTGTGGAACGCAATTTTTCGTTTAAACTAGGGCTAACGAGTTAAACTTCGTTTACAGTAAGTTGTGGAACTGGGCCTAAAAATGACGAGAAAATGAACGAATTATGATGTAAAAATGACTTTTCCTCATCATTTTGACGTCATCATGACGTTTCTGTTCTACCTGGAAAACTTTCCTCTTCCCTTCAACGCAAATTTCACACACTTGTTTCGCTCGAACGGTAAAAAATGCAATCTGGTCCAACCAAAAAACGACCACAGAACCTCAGGTCTGTGTGCGTTCTTCAACAACTTTTCAATTGCTGCAATAAATTGGAGAAGAGAGGAGAAAGTATACTTCCCGAACAGCACAAATTCGTAAAAGGCTTCAAAGATATCTAAAAGACATCTAAAGGACAGATTGTTATTTTAGATATCTGTTGGATGTCTTAAAGACGTCTTTTAGGACTTTGTGCTGTCTGGATTATTTCTCTCTCATCTTATCGCAGGAATCCTTTGAAAACGAACGGATTTATAGGCGATATTGAAAATAGTACTTGATGTTCAAATAGTAAAAAAATCATCAGTTTCATCAGTTACTGAAGAATAAAAATTTAAGTCTAATCCATTATCAAACAACGTTGCTCGACAGCAACAAAGGTCGCTTGATTTATTATTATTTACAAGAGACAAAGGTCTCATCGATTGAGTCGTACTTCTGGGAAGGTAAAAAATCAGGACAATTTTCAATTCAGAGAGAGAAACTGATAGGAATGAATCTGTAAGAAGCCTCATAACTCACAAAGTACTTGATGAAAAATGACTTAGTCATAAGTGTTTGGGAAAGCTCTCGAGATAAGCTACAAGATATGTAAAAATACGGGGTTCTGTATAAAATATTGAAATCGACATTCATGTGACCTTCAAATGACTATTCAAGGTCAAACCAATGACACCATCTTATCTCCCCCTTGAAACCATACAACTTTTAGCTCGGACAAATTTTTCTCAGAAACGCTTAGTTTTCCAAAGAAATGCTTGATATGCGCGCGCTGATGCACCATGTATACTTGAAGTATACACTCTAAATACTTCCGTTTAGGCTGGAATTGACTAAATATTACTTCCAAGGGTATAAGGAAGTGATTCCAGCCATTTTGGTCCAATTTTGAAGGGTGCCGAAAACAGGACTTAAGGACCCTCCTCCTTTCCCTGGGGAGGCACCCGGGCGAAAGAGACCGTCTCGCATTTAGCGCAGTAAAATTTAATGGGAACTAATACTTTTCAATCCTTTTCTTCGGATCAAAAAGATTCAGAATTCAGACATATTCAAAATGACAATACTTTTTAATACGTTTCAATTCGACATTTTGTACAGGGAAGCAGGACGAAGGGAATGGGATGCGGGCAACGATACATCATGCATCTGGAGACGTCCAGACGTGTCAAATCGTTTATTATAGAGGAGATTTTGATACGGCAACATGTATTCGAATATTTAATCGTCCCATGGACCACTTATATATAATAAAGAAAAAAAAAATTAACGCGGATAAATGAACGATTCGTATCAATTTTTCTTGTCTTATAAAAAAATGAGAAAATAAATCAGTACCGAAAATCGAAGACCGTTCAATATCTAATTTTTTCATCAAATTAACGCGGATAAATGAACAATTCGTCTGAATTTTTTCTTTTCTTATAGAGAAATGAAAGGAGAAATCAGTACCGAAAATCGAATATCGATTAATACCATAAATCAGTGTCAAAAAATTGTCCAAGTGCAATGACAATTTGTTCTTATTTTTCAGCTACTTACCCCTCTAATCTTATTCAACAAATTAACTTGGATAAACGAACGATTCGTATCAATTTTTTGTCCTTAAAAAAAATGAGAAAATAAATCAGTACCGAAAACCGAATATCGATTAATACCATAAATCAGTGTTAGAAAATTGTCCAAGTGCAATGACAATTTGTTCTCATTTTTCAGGTACTTACCACTCTAATTTGCTCAACAAATTAACTCGGTTAAACGAACGATCCATATCAATTTTTCTTTTCTTATAGAGAAATGACAGAATAAATCAGTACCGAAAACCGATCAATATCTAATCTTTTCATCAAATTAACGCGGGTAAATGAACGATTTGTATTAATTTTCTGTTTTCTTATAGAGAAATGGAAGAGTAAAATAGTACCGAAAATCGAATATCGATTATACCATAAATCAGTGTCAAAAAATTGCACACGTGCAATGACAGTTTGTTCTTATTTTTCAGGCACTTACCCCTCTAATCTTATTCAACAAATTAACTCGGATAAACGAACGATTCGTATCAATTTTTTTTGTCTTATAAAAAAGTGAGAAAATAAATCAGTACCGAAAATCGAAGACCGTTCAATATCTAATTTTTTCATCAAATTAACGCGGATAAATGAACAATTTGTATCAATCTTTTCTTTTATAGAGAAATCAAAGACTAAATCAGTATCGAAAACCGGATATTGATCAATACTATAAATCAGTTAGAAAATTGTCTAAGTGCAATGACAAGCTGTTTTCATCTTGCAGGTACTTACCTCACTAATTTATTCAACAAATTAAGTCGGATAAAAGAACGATTCGTATCAATTTTTATTCTCTTATAAATAAATTAGAGAATCAGTCGGTCACCGAAAATTGAAAACCGATCAATATTTAATTTATTCATCAAATTAACGCGGATAAATGAATGATTCGTATGAATTTTTTTTTCTTATAGAGAAATGAAAGAGTAAATCAGAACCGAAAATCTAATATCGATTAATACCATAATTCAGTGTCAAAAAATTGTCCAAGTGCAATAACAATTTGTTTTCATTTTTCAGGTACTTACCCCTTTAATCTTATTCAACAAATTAACTCGGATAAACGAACGATTCGTATCAATTTTTTTTGATTTATAAAAAAATGAGAGAATAAATCAGTACCGAAAATTGAAGACCGTTCAATATTTAATTTATTCATCAAATTAACGCGGATAAATGAACGATTCGTATTAATTTTCTGTTTTCTTATACAGAAATTGAAAGAGTAAATCAGTACTGAAAATCGAATATCGATTAATACTATAAATCAGTGTCAAAAAATTATCCCATTGCAATGACAATTTGTTCTTATTATTCAGGTACATAATCCTCCAATCTTATTCAACAAATTAACTCGGATAAACGACCGATCCATATCAATTTTTTTGTCTTATAAAAATATGAGAAAATAAATCAATACCGAAAATCGAATATCGATTAATATCATAAATCAGTGTCAAAAAATTGTCAAAGTGCAATGACAATTTGTTTTCATGTTGTAGGTACTTACCCCTCTAATCTTATTCAACAAATTAACTCGGATAAACGAACGGGTCGTATAAATTCTTTTTGTTTTATAAAAGAATGAAAAAATAAATCAGTACCGAAAACCGAAGACTGATCAATATTTAATTTATTCAACATATTAACGCGGATAAATGAACGATTCGAATGAATTTTCTTTTCTTATAGAGAAATGAAAGAGTAAATCAGCACCGAAAATCGAATATCGATCAATACCGTGAATCAGTATCAGAAAATTGTTCAAATACAATGACAATTTGTTCTCATTTTTCAGGTATTTATCCCTGTAATTTACTCAACAAATTAACTCGAATAAATGAATGATTCGTATCAATTTTTCTTGTCTTATAAAGAAATGAGAGAATAAATCAGTACCGAAAACTGAAGACCGAT